TGTTTTTAGAAAAACATAAAATTAATTTAAAAATAGGTCTCTCTTTAGAAAACACATTTATTATACGAACATCCGGAAGCTATTTAACACCCACGCGCCAAAGGGTTTTCAAATGATCGAACGAACAACGGCTACAATAATTCTGCATATAGTAGAATTCCAAGTTAAATATAAAGCATGAATCAAATAATTTTGATGATAAAAAAGATATTTTTATTCTTTGAAATTTAAGATTTAAACACTGAAATATAAAAAATATAAACATTTAAAATCAAATAATTAATATTTTTTTTCGAACGGATGTCATATTATATTCATCTCATATTAATAATAATAAAAAAAAGTTAAATATAAAATGAAACGTCGTTAGCGGCGTTGAGATGAGCAGGTAGCCGTTAAGAAAGTGGGGCCCTAACACAGATCACCAAGGCGGTGTTTGCGCGTCCCAAAAGCCAACTCATTTGTACCAGCTGGCTCTTATATATATAATAATAAAATCTCTTTTTTTCCCCCAAATTGAGTTTATTAATGCAATAATTTATTTTTTTCGCAAAAAATATTTTTATAGTTCTTATTTATCATAAACTACATATTTAGTATTTAAATTATTATTTTTATTTTATTTTAATATGTAATTTTTTAAATTATAACTAATATCTATTTTAGGTTTTATTTTGATGCCACAAATAAAATTTAACAATTATATTGACATCTCAAATTCATTGGGTAAAATATGTAATCATTTTAGGTTTTATTTTGATGCCACCATAAAATAATATCATGTAATCATTAAAAAATATCATAATAATATTAACCCATAAATAGATACGGGAGGAAAATCCTACACCCGTCCTACTCAATTAACATCCCAAATTCATTGGGTAAAATATGTATTAACTAATTAATGGTTTCCGTTAAATTTAGGCTTATTTGAAAAAAGAAATTAAACCAGTAAAGGAGTAATTGAACAGAAAACAAAAAGAATAAGTCATTAAAAACATAGACAAACATAAAAAGGTGAAATTTGCAATTAAGCCCCTCAGAATAAAATATGTTAATAAAAATAAAATACTCGATGTCTCATTGTAAAGAACGTGTTTGAAATGGTAAAAAAATAGTGCAAACCGTAAATATAGACCTAAATTTATATCATAATTTTTTAAAAATAGTCTGTGTGATTATAAGATAATATCTATTCATAATATCTCTTAGTTATAAACAACACACATTTCTAAAAAATCTCGAACCTTGAACTCAATGAATTTTAATATCTTGCAATTTTTAACACAAGACTATACATCATGTATAAATACATAACACATTACTATCAATATAGTACCAATTGCCAAATAACAATGGATGAACCTTTACGAAAGAATGAAAATGAGAAATAATGAATATTTTGTTAATGAATTTTAACCATTTAATTAACAAATTTTTCATCCTCCATGACAAACAAGCCTTATTGTTGGCATCCAAAGTTACCAATTGCACTTAATTGCTTATTAAAGTGCCTTAAAGGTACAATGGATTGAAAATTAGAGTTTGTTGGCTATCTTACAATGTTAGAGGGATATTAAGATGCTAATTAAGTTATCAATTAGGTAAGCTATATGAGTGAGTATGTCTTCACACAGACAGAGTAACGATTTTGTGGAAGTCTTCAAAACAAATATGTGTTGCTCGTTCTACTATATCATTCTACTATAAAGTAATAGTTTATCATTTTCGACCTGGTTAGATAAGCAGCTGAGTAGCTAAGGTAGAAATTTTGTTACGGGGAAAACCGACTCCTCCGATGCCTTTATTTTATGATTCCCAAGAAGTGATACGTGTGACTTATAGCTAAGCTTACAATGGTAAGAAGAGACACATTCACATAAGAAATGAATTAGTAAGACATTTAATGAGAAACGAGGTACCATTTTTAGAGTATGTGAAATCGGAGAGAAACATACCTGATTTGCTAACCAAAGGGTTAAGTCAAAAATTGATTTTGGATTTGTCGAGGGGGATGTGGTTAAAGCTTATTGGTTGAAGAATTCATTGTGAATACCCAACTTAGTTATCTAAGTTCAATATGGTCAAACAAAGTTATGGAAAGACTCATAGTGTACATTTCTACCTTTCTATCCCTATGACGAATAATGTATATGCACATGATGAGTTTTATTGCTCTTAATAAATTCATAGCCTAAGCTTTGGGAGGTCTTAGTGAGAGAGACTTGATGAATTTACCTATTTTGAATGGATATATACTCTTAATAAGTTCATAACCCAGTGTTGAGTGGGTAGTCCTATCGCGAAGGACTAGATGAACTTGTTGCTAAAGAGGATGGGTTTCTTAAACTTTTAATGAATTCAATCTCAAGAGTTTGGGTGATTGTATTTAAGAATGAATTACTGAATTTTTCTGATTAAAGATGTTGAGTATTTATCTTAAGGAATTCTTATCCAAGAGTTCGGGTGGTTCATTTAAGATGAACTTGAAGAAAATCACCTTATTTATTGTGAGGTTGAGTTATTGCAAAAGCTCTTAATTATTTCATAGCCCGGTTCGAGTGATTTATGTTGAGATAAACCTGATGAAATAACCTATGTAAATGAGAAGGACTAGCCACTTTCTATGACAAATATTGGGTCGTTTTTCTAGTGCACTTACTAGAATCCTGAGGGAAAAAGGGTTATACATATACTTTTGTTGACACATCGAGGACTTCGGTTGATGAAAATGTTAGTTTTGTGTTATAAGTTCAACCTAATCTTAGAAAGTTCAAGATTTATTCACTTATATAAGAGAAGAATTACTCATCATCATTATGTGCTAATTAAATATACATTCACTCATATTTAAACATCTAAACTCACTATTGTTCTTCTCGTGTTTTTAACTTCAAATTATGTATTTTTACAAAGAATTCTTTTGCATTAGAGAGGAAATGTCGGTAATACAAAGAAATTCATATTGGGTAAGGAACCGTTTGTCATGGTCTGATTCGACTCGTGTGTGTTTCTTTATAGATCCTCCTAGTAAAAATATTATTGATCAGTGTTTATCTTTTATCATTTCTAGCTGTTGCAAAAGGATGATGCTGCCACGCTCGAACATGAAATAATTGAATAGTATGAAAAATATAAAATATATATAAACAAATATTATAATTGATTAATAAATAAATATGTTTTATTTACATTTTAAATCCTATTGAACTGAAATGTATCATATCTTATATTTTAAAATATTATACTGTCGATTGGATTCTAATCTTATTTAATAACTCTATATTAAAATAGACTAATTCAATAAATCAAGTTTCCCTAAAATTTTCTTCAAATATATGAATAAATAATAAAATATAAAATTCTTACTCTAATCGGGATATAAACAAGTCAATGCATAAGTTAAAATGCTTACTATGATAAGCCTTCAACTATTAGGAAAATTATAAATCAACGAAGCTCTTCGTTATATTTCAATTATAATATATTAAAATTATTTTTATTTTTTCATTAAAATGATTTAAAATATAAATAAAATACATTCACATATTAATAAGTTATAATATTTGTGTATATATATATCATTTATTGTATTATTCAATTATTTCATGTTGGAGTTCTTATTAGGTCATTTTCCCTTTTTTTATTGCCATTAACTATATATATTATGTCATGATAGATTTGTCATTTGAATAGTGCAATCTAGTGGTTGGGGCATTTGCTTCCTCTCCTCACGTCTTGGGTTCAAACCTCACCAGTATCAATTATTGATTTAATTTTATTTTCTATTCATTCAATTGGTGACACATCGTCTCCTTCGTTAAAATTTAACGGTAGGTGGCTTGATTGACAATATTTAAATAGTTAGTGACCCGATTGACAAAATTGAAAAATTAGTGGTTAAAGTAAAATAGATAAATAGTTAGGTGGTGAATAGTATAGTTTAACTAAAAACTAATGTTTTATAAATATTGTATTTTAATTAAATTACAATTAGATTTTTAACTAATTTATAATTATAAGTTTTGTACTTTATAATTTAATGTTTTATAAATTAATTTAATGATGTTTATCGTTAACGGTGCTCATTCACGCTCGACGAACATTGTAGAATTTTTTATTACAAAATAATGTTTATGGTTATTAAAATTGTTTTTAAGACAATTAATTATTTTGTAACTGTTATTTGATCTTGTACTATTTTATTCCTATTTTAAGCTAAATAGAGAGTTTTTTTTTAACTTATGAGACATACAAAAAAAACGGTTTCTCTCAAATGTTTCACTTTCAAAAGCTTTCAAGCTTCTTCCACGTTCTATTTCTTAGAGAATAGCAATATCACCTAAGTCTACTCTATTTCTCGGGTGTACGAAATTTGGAGAATCGTGTTAATCTTATAGGGTCGTTCGTCCCTTATAATGATTACACACATCAGGCGAATTCGTTTCTAAGATAATAATAAATACTACGACACGGTTAATTGATTTCTTGCTTGTTTATTTTATTATCTAATCTCGTTTTGCAGTAGTCTATTTTTCAAAGGACAACGAATGAGACATGATAAAATATTTTTAAAGTGAAGAACTAAGCTTGAAGATGGCCGTGTAATCACCAACGAGGAGAGATTGAAGCATGAAGAAGGCTGAGCATTAAACTTCATCTTTATTACTAAAAGAACTCATCAGTACATGCTAATGTATAACCCAAAGATGTAACTAACTAACGGGCTGTTGTAACGAACCCATCTAACATAAATCAGTTTTGTATTTAACTGATAGTTTTCTTAACACTCTTTCTCCTTTGAATTTATCCTCAGTCTCTCCTTTCCTCTTACAGTTTTTGTGTATTTTTATTTTCTGGTTTCTCCAAACCCACATCAAGTCTTTCCTCCTTTGATACCGCCTAATGTTGTGGTGCAGGGAACTTCAGTATGCTTGATCCAAGCGTCACCGACGGCGAAGAACTTAGGAGGAAGGTATTGAGCAGCGTCCTCCGCGTAATCATCTTAACGCGCTTGGATGTGGAAGCACAAGGTATGTGCATTCTTGGGTTTTAGATGCAGATGCCATGTCTGTCCAACCATCTGGGTGCACCATATCATCGATGTAAGTTTCCATTATAATTGTTGTTGATAGTGCCCCCCATGGGCGACCAAGGTATACCGGGAACTCGTCCTTCACCGGAGAAAGCTCAGGAGCAGGAATGATTTGGCCGCCGTGGATAACAGTCCCCGTCGGCAATTTCTTGTCACTTCTCTTTTGTACCGTAATAACGTTTTGCTTTCCCTTTTGTGGCTTTCGAACAAGGAATGTGCAGTTCTGAAAAATCACCGATGCATCACCAAAAATGAAATCGATTCTTCCGGAGATGGTGCAGTCCCGATAGAATTGTCGTTTGGTGAAAGCATAAAGCGTGTCTTAGTAACCGTCTATAGAACAATCGAAGAAGACTGAATCTCCCGACTGTACTCTCAACGCCACCGCTTGCTTTTTCATTGGCCGTGTGAGTTCTCGAACGCAATGTTTTTGGCAATGAAGTGGTTTCCATCCACAGCTACCACGCATTATATACAATTATCATTAACATATACATGATAAATTATATATTTAATCATTTACCTATTATTAAGGTTATGTTTTTATCATCAAATTATTTAAAAAAAACATATTTAATTTTATGTTTCAGTCATCAACAGTTACAAAATAAACAAAATTATCAGCATAATAATTTTTAAATTTTTTCAATGATGAATTAACATTATCTTATAGTGACACATCAATATTATCTTAATTTTATAAATATGAATAATCAAAACAGAATCAAAACATAATATTAAATATGATTTAAAAAAATAGATAACTAAAACAAAACTACGAGAATAGATAGGTGACTAAATATATAATTTACCTTATACATGTATAATTATCGAATGGGTTAATAATATGTATAAATATATATAATTACCGAATGTTGCAGTGAAGAAGGTAGTGGGATTTCCACCCTGACCGGAGCTGATATTTCCAGTGATTCGGGTTTTGTCTTTACCATCTGCGATGAGTACCACGTGCGCCATTTCAGAAGGGATTTCCACATTCTCGGCGTAAACTCCTTCCTTGACGTGTATCACAAAAGGCTTGGTGGATCTGCGGGGGATTTTTTGTTTGGCTTCATTTAGGGTTTTGCAGTATCCACTGCCGTCCTTGGCCACAACAAGATCGGGCTTCAAATTAGCTGACAACAGTCTTCGTGCTCCTTCTGGTATATTTAGCTCAATATCTTGGTGTAGCCGACGGCGATTCCATCCTTGATCCTTTTCTCTAAACGAAGTCCAATTAAATGGCCGAGAACCGGAAGTCTATCCTCATCTTGTGTAGTAGTCGACGGCGGCGATTCCAGTTCTGATTTCTTTCTCTAAAGGAAGTCCAATCAAAATGGACGAGAACTGGAAGTCGATCCTCATCTCCGAGTAGACGACGGCGGCGAGCGAAGAGTCCCTCAACCTGCAACTGCTGAAGCTGGTCTTCTAATTCACATGCTATTGCAAGTCCAATTCTGCTGAGTTGCGTCGTGATATTTAGAAACTTCTTCATTTTGAGTGAAGCATGGGATTTTGATTTCGTTTTCTGGAACCTATCCAAACAAGCTTGTTGGTAAGCAATGGTAGCACTGAACCAAATCTTCATATCAGCCAACAGTTTATGAATTTTAACGACATCTAGCTCCTCAACCACATCAAATGATTTTTCAAGTTCATGTACAGTATAATTCAATAGTATTTTGCAGGCATCTAAAACACTTTTGGTCCCTTCATCTTCCTCAAGTTCCCTCAGGGTCGTTGAATTCTCCATAGCTCGATTCACATGCTTCATGGTCGCCTTAAACGCTGCTTGAACCAGTTCTTTAACGTCCATCTTCCGGCTTCTTCTATGAGTTGTTCTTCACATGTATCCTTGAACTCCGTTGGTTGGCAAATCAACTGGACTGCCTTCTTGGAGGAAGAGATCTGAGCATTTTTGTTCCCATTTGAGGTTTCTTCGTTTGAATCGGTGTCTTTCTCACCGCCAACCCCAACCGTCACCGCAACCACCACAGCCACCAAGAGGCAAGAACTGACGGCGATGATTGCGATCTTCCTCTTCCTCTGAGCATCCTCAGGGTCAGCCATTGTCGAAATATATACCAAGTTATATTGAAAAACAGCAATAATAGAGGAGCAGAAAATATTTTTTTTCTTTTTTTGCCAACTCCTTCGAAGGTGATTGAAAGTTGATTTTTCTCCGTTATAAGAACACGATCCAATTACCATATGGGTTTGGGAACGTCACAAAACTTGAGCTTCGGCAACCATTTCGCAAGTCAAATTGATTTTAGTCGATCGATATCATCAGCCACACATTATTTTTAGCTAAAACAATCAAATCACTGAATTGGTCTTGCACTTGTTATTGGTTTCAGATAAATTTGTACGTTAAAAGTTTCTACTTTTTAATGTTACGTCCACAATATAATAAGTTAAATAATTTTAATTTAAATAAATTTTTCTTAAGAAGTAATTATATATTTATATATATATGTAGTTATATTAAAGATGGTAAAGGTATTGCCAGTTATGAATCTAATTTGATAATATTATTATAGAATTCGATTTTAAAAATATTTTTACATACTCAAATTATCAATGATGATACATCTTTTTATGTGACACATAAACAATTTAATGGAACTGTTATAATTTAGAATATAATTGTATGACATTTAACATTATGTATGAGACTAATGTGTAAGGAGAAAGTTACTGATTCTATAGTATGCATCATACTACTTAATTCACTATTTTGAACTCCACACCAAGTATTACTGAGCTTCAACTCCCATTATTTGAGGAAATGAGGTAATACTGAACTCGGGGAACTATGCATGCGGTGATTAGCGGATGAAAAGATAGTCAGGGACTTGTTGGCATGTTTATGCATTTGTCATGCTTGTCTGATATGTGAGATAATTCTTGTATATAAATTAAATTATGTAACGAGCATGATTTTTAGTTACTTTATGCACATAAAAAGTACACAGGTCCGTCCTAGAAAATATGTGGGCCTGTGCTGTTTTATTAGAATGAGGTCCCTAAAATATGGGGTCCCTAATTTTTTTTTTCTAAGTTTAACATATATTTTTCAAAGTATGGGGCTCTTAAATTTAGGGGTCATCTGCCAATTTTTTCTAAGTTAGTATATTTTTTAAAATATGGAACCCCAAGATTTTGAAGCTCAGTAATGTATCATATTCTACATTTGTTAATGGACGGGCCTGAAATAAACTAAACCTTGTAATTTCATTTCTTGTTTTGTTTCCTTTGGAATTGACTTGATATTCAAAATCCCAGACTTCATATTAAATGGAGGTTTTCGTATTTAAATTATTTATGTTTTTAAATAATTATGTCTTATTTTTAACTTGTGTATTTTTAATATCTTACTGGACTTTTAAACTTACTTTGGATTTTTTGCATACTTAATTTTGAAAGAGACAATTAATTTTATTTTTTGTGACATCTTAGAATTGACTTTAACGTCTAGGCCTAAAGTATTACGGTTAAAATTTAATACAGTAAGGTGACTAAAAAAGAATAACAATGATAGTTGAGGTATTAAACAAGTAGTTTACCCTTTATTCTATGTTTCTTGATTATTATTGTACAGATCGAAGTTTTAATTTTAACCGAGCAAAGTCTGAAACCTAAGGGAAAAACCCGTCTAAGAAAAATGCACCTTTTCTCTTCAGTTCGACAAGCTCGCCTTTTCTCTTCTTCACCTTTGCTTCAACGCTTTACCAGCTTCAGATGGGTCTCTCAATCTTCCTCCGACCGCTCTAGTTTTCTTGGTAAGTTCCTTCCTCGTTTTCTTTCAATCTCGTTTTTGATACATCAGATGGGAAATTCTGCAACAATTTGAGTGTTTAAGTTCTGGCTTTCTTATTCCATTTGGGGTAGTAATATAATTCGATGGATGTTAAAAACTAAACTTTGCAAACTTTGGAATTTCTCATTGAGTAATTTCTTCAAACAGTTGTTGGGCATAATCTAAAAATATATTTTTTATTAACATAGTTGCTGTATCACTTTTGTGAATCTAAATATAGAGTTGGAAATGTCGTTGAATTCTCGCCTAGTTGATTTCAATTCAAAGGAATATAATTTCTTGTATCAACTAAACATAGGGTCACTGTGATGTATATATAGAGGGAGCCGGGATCCGTTCGTGTAAAACTCTGTTTAGTTTTACACTTTTTTAGGCCCGTTTGATGAGTGAAAATAGATGGATATAACTATTAGAGTAAGTTAAGCAACTTTGAGCAAACTTGGGATGAAATGGTTTGTGAATGTAATCTGTGTACTAAGTGTGAAATTGGGATAAAGTAGTGTATATGTACTTGGTTTGCAATCAGTGAAGGGCTTCATAGTTGAAAAATATTTGTTAATACACTTTTCGGATTGGTATAACTGATTTTATTTTATAGGTTGTTTAAAGAGTTACAGTGCTGGTGCACAATTTCCTGGGAATGATGGAAATCCGGAGAAGAGTTTTGGTCAACAAACAGAGAAGGAGAATATCTCTGCTACGTATACTTCGTCTTTCCGGAATAATATTCGTCCTTTAGGTCAGGCAGACTTCAGGTCGGGTGGGAATCGCAGGTCCATGGATTTTGTGAGGGAAGTTATAGATGGAGATACAAGGGCAAACTATAGGGGCTCACAATTTTGGTCAGACAATGTTGTGCAGAACGAACATTTTGCACACATAAAGCTGATGCGCAACAATACGTTTGTCACTGTGACAGATTCCAATGGGAATAAAAAATGTGGAGCCTCGGCTGGAGTTCCCGGACTTTTAGGAGCCTCGAAAGTGTCCAAGTATGCTGCCGAAGCAGTGGCGGAATATGCAGGACGGAAGGCGAGGAGAATGGGGATTAAGTCGGTTGTGGTAAGAGTGAAAGGCTTTACCCATTTTAAGAGGAAAAAACAAGCGATACTTAGTTTTCGTGAGGGCTTTAAGAATCCTATTGTCTATATCGAGGACGTCACACGTCATCCACATAATGGATGCCGGCTTCCGAAGAAGAGACGAATTTAACTTCTTCGCTTTCTTTATCTTGAAGGCTTGATAGAGATTGTGAAAGTATGTTGGTTGCTGTTTCCATGGTACTCCTTTATGTAAAACTCCAACTCTTTCGTGTTTTTCGATTTTCGTTTCCTTCTTTAGTTCTCCATAAATTTTCTGGTGTGTCTGATAGACTGTTTTATTTGTTATCCGATTCTGATGTAGAAGCTGTTGAGATGATATGTCTTGCTTTATATCATACCAAATGGTTAGTTTTTCTTCATAGATTTCATGTTCTTTATCTGTCTTGTTTATGATTTTGTTGAATCATTGTCAGGTCTTTAAAGTACAAAATTCGCCTCTTTAATTCATACTATTTTTCTTTTTTCTAATTTTGTCGAAGAAGCTTTCATTTTTTGATTAGCCTTGCCTTGTGGTTCTCTTCTTTTCATTGAAAATTTATCGATGATGATAAATGTATAACCCCAGCTCATTATGAGACCTTTGTGTAAGGTCTGGGAAATCATTCTTAATCCAACATTTATCTGAGTCTCTCTTCAATTTTCCTTTAATGTTTTTTAACCTCTAAAATCAGCATCGATTTTTATAATTCTATATAAGTCCCGAATTTTCGATTTTTATATTCATTTTGTTAAATTTTCATATCAGATTATTATTTTTATTATTTGTGCTTTTGAAAAGTTCCCAATGATGCTTGAAATTTTAAACCATGCCTAATGCTGATAATCCAGTGATTATAAAGTATCATTGATATATTCTGAGGGAACTTCATTTTTTCCCCTTAATTCTTTTATATTTTACTAACAAGTAGTCTACTATTTATGAAATTCGATTGATGAGAAACTTGTAAAATTTTAATTACCATACTCCTTTTCTTGTGTTGGTCAGATGTTTTGTTTCAAAGACAGACTCGATGATCTATATAATTAATCAATTAGGTGATGACTATCGGCTCATAATTGCTGTCTCGCGTGATCTATATACTTTTATCAAAAACATCTATGGCATGGTATAACCTGAAGAGATAGCTTCCTTCCCTTAATTCTATGATCGAGAGGATGACACGCATTGGCCAGAATAGTTCTCGTTTGAAAATCTACTTGACTCGATGTTATGAACCCAACAAAACATTTGTCGAAAGAGATGTACGCCTCCTTTTCTTGTCCTACAAGCAGAACGGAAACATGCTCATTTTCTTCTAGATTCAAGTCACCCATCGTATGTTCCAAATCACCCATGATTAGCCGTCAAGGAAAAATACCTGTCCATCAAGCTTTTCTGTCGGCCTGTCCATAAAACCAAAGTAAAAGAATAAAATCCGAAAAAACGTATAGAAATATAATATCAATTATAATTATAGTAATTAACAGTTACTTGCAATTAACAGTCTCAAACAGTCGGCAAGCATGATGGTCAGTCAGTGGATGGATGTTTGGCGCCAGAGATGGTGGCCGGAGATGATCGACCGTTGAAAATAAGATTTGAAATTTAAGATTTTAGGGGTTTTTTTGTGATTTAAAAAATAGATTTTTTAAAAAGTTAATAATATTTTTAAAGTTTTTCTAAAATGTAAAATTAAAAAAAACTGACACTTAACGATATTTCTAACAATGTTACGATATAGATACTTAAAACTATAATGTTAAAAATGTTAAATATTTATTTTGAGCAAAAAAAATTGTAAACACCTAAAATTAACTTTAGGTATAATTTAAGCATTTTTTTTACATTAAGCCATTGTTTTTTTAGGGTAAATTACGCATTTAGTACCTAAACTATTAGCTTTGGTTCGTTTTAATACCTAAACTTTTAATTTTTTCAAAATCATGCCTAACGTAGTTTTTATTTCATTCTAGTACCATGCTATTAAAAACTTAATGCGTTTAGTATATAAACTATCAGTTTTTATTTGCTTTAGTACCTAAACTTTTAATCTTTTTTAGAACTTAACGTTAAGTTTTTAACGGGGTATTAAAATGAAACAAAAGCTAAATGTTAGGCATGATTTTGAAAATTTTAAAGTTTAAGTATTAAAACGTATCAAAATTGATAGTTTAGGTATTAAACGCATAGTTTACCCTAAAAATAATGGTTTAATGTAAAAAAAATACCTAAACTATACCTAAAGTTAACTTTAGATGTTTAAAAAGTTTGTTTGTCGATATAATCAAATCTGTTCATATCTACATTTTGTTCGAGTTTTTTAGATGTATTTTTAATACTTTTCTTGTATGATCCTTATTTAATCTCAAGTGATTAGTTTCTTGTGTCTATAATTATAAACATTATTAATTTATGCTTATAATTGTAAATCTTTATTATTTTTGATTTTTTTTTCTTTTTAAAAAAACTAATAACTTTTATTTGCATAAAAAATATTTTTAATCTAGATAACTTTTCGAGATCATGCAATGGTAAGAACCAAATGTCTCATCGCCGTTTCCATTCTAAAAAAAACACGTCGTTTTGGTCTTTAATTTTAAATTTTAAACTTTGGATAAACTACCAAAATTGTTACTTCTTTTTTTATATTTATATACTTTTACTCACAAGTTTTAAAAAGTTAAGTTTTGATCACTTACGTTATAATTTTATTAAATTTTGATCACTGAGACGTTAAATGTCGTTAGTTTGATGGTGTGATACATTAATAAAATAGCTTAATTTTTATTTTAACACCTAAAATTTAAATAAAATATTAATTATAAATCTATTTGTAAATCCAAAACAGTTTAGGAACAAAATTTTAATTTATATTGTGTCAAGTGTATAAAACTTTTAATCTTACCCAAATGTATCGTATATTTTTTTGACAAAAAAAAAATTGTGCACGTATTTCCCTATTCTTACATTTGCCTACATAATAAGCAATGGGCTCCAACTTTTATACCTCTGGATTCAACGAATTGGATCTAACAATTCTAATAATTTCTAGGGTAAATTACATGTTTAGTACTTCTATTATCACTTTTATTCTAATTTAGTCACCTAACTATTATATTTTTCAAAATTATACCTAACATTACATTTTGATTTCATTTTGATCATCCGTAGATAAAAAGCAAACAAAATTGCATACATGACATTTTTAAAAAATTAAATAATGATGTGACACTATCCTGTGATTACATATTAATATACTCATTAATTTTTTAATAATAAATGACTAAAATAAAACTAAAACATAACGTTAAGTATGATTTTGACACAAAAAATAGTTGGATGATCAAAACAGAACAAAAGCGATACCTGAGATACTAATCGTGTAGTTTTCCCTAATTTCTATGTAATATGGTCGATCGGTTTTGTGTTCTATGTTGTTGGACAAATAGCAACTTAACACCAGTCACTCTTGTATTTCAATTATTTTCCTTGTTCCTAATATAATCATTAAAGATGGAATATTATCAGGCAGGCCTAACACCTAAAACTCCACATGTAACATAAAAGCTACACCTTATTCAATATTTTGCTTAATACATACATCAACGTATTCACTACGAACAGCTTAACAGACCATATATTTCGAGCGCAGCAAATGCTCTTTGCCGTGAACCCAATAATGCGGGGCTTCTGCCCAGAATTGCAGCAGCTTTATAAGATATCGTCAACAATTGTTGACAATAGCAGCCCTTGGGCAAACTCACATCTTTTCGCCTTTTCTTCCTGATCCTTGACCGAAAGGGGAGACGACTTGATGGTTCTGTCACCGAAACAAAAAATCAGAATGAGTAAAGCCAAAAACCACAATAGGATACAGAAGAACTCTTTGAGATGGCAATACCAAACAAGAAGGCTATGACAAGATTAGTAAGATTGCAAGTGAATAACCACATAAAATATCATACATTCATAACACCTGCCTCAAGCAGCCGGGGTAGAAATGGGGCAATCAGATTTTAAAACACAGTAAAACTTACCTTTCCACCTTTTTCATGTCTGAACTTTTCTTAGTTGTGCTTGTTTCGGTAGAAAACAGAGGTTGATCACTAACAAAATCATCAACCATGGGTAAAATAAATGAAGACAACAATGGATCAGGTGCTGAATTGGATGAAGATACTGTACAAGAAGAACCACCAAAGAGGGCCTGTAGGTTTCCTTGTCGCAGCTCTTTCTTCAGAAGAGAAAGCTTTGAATGAGATCCGCCTTTATGAGGTTTCCTCTTGCGATGCAGGTAAAGACTCGTTAAAGAATGAAAACATATAAAGCAAATCCTTATAATAAGGTGACCAAGAAAGCTGGCAATGCTACTACTACTACACCAAAGGGGAAGAGAAGGATGGAATCATCTTGCCTATAGACTTAAAATGTCTTTCCGGTCCGAGCAGTTGAGAAAAAGGAACAAAGATAACAACATTTGCAGGTAAAAGAGAGAATCAACAACCAAATTCTACATGTTTGGCAGACTCCAATAATGATTTTAAGATTCATGGCACACATGGGCGTAGCCACCTGGGCTATGTGTGTTACTAGACACCCCAAAATTCTTTTGGGAGAAAAAATCCTTCATAATTTTTTTTAAAAAAATATTAGAAGTAAATTAACACCTCTTACAAATAATCGATACCCCTTGAAGGAAATTGACACCCACAGTCTTACCCCACCATACGACACATAAAAAGAAAGAACTCATTGATGAAACTTGGAGAGTAAATTCCAAAGACAATTCATTCATTAATAATAACTCAATAAAAAAGGATATCTTAAATATATTTCCATGTTGTAGTGCTATATGCGCAACCATATCCAGCCCCACCCTCATTTCGCAGATCGGACATACCTGCGAACCCAAAAACAACATCACAAAATATAATTTAGAGTCAGTAAACATCTTCAGATCAGTTGAGCTCTTAGCTCAAAACTTATTTCATCCAAATTTTCAATCCATAACAAAACATCAATGTTTTAACAATCAAAGGAGTCATTTAAGCTTTCCAGGCAAAAGCTTGAAATTTTGAACTACCAGAATCCATAACAAACAATCCCCTTTCAATTCCTTTTAGTCGACCAATCAAATTCAAAGCTTAACTCCGTTAAGCGAACTATGCGACTTTGAAAAAATCTTAAACATCATGTGAAAAATAAGAAACCAATATACCCTTCTTACTTATACAAATAAATAAATAGCAAGGCATGATGAATTCGAACAAGAAACGGAGAGATATACCCCGTTTATAGCCTCAATTGGATGTTCATCATCAATGTGACTGCACAAGCCAACCATGTCGAAATACTCTGAACAAAAAGGGCATGAAAATTCCTCTCTTATATCATCTTCTCCATCTATTTCTCCAAACCCCATAAACACATCTGCATTTTGAACCCATTTTCACAAATTAAATCATTAATAATTAAAGGCAAAAAATATTCATAAAGATCTCATATTCCGGTGACAAATTTAAATCAGGTTACTACCTTCTCCTTCATTTTCCACCATACACAGAGAAAAGAAGATAAAATATTTACGTATTTAGCCGCAAAATGGAAGTACAAAAGAAGATGGGATATTAGAAGCTTACTAGATGGTGATTGAATCGCTGATTGGTAGACGAACAACCCATGAATCGGCATCCATTTCTAAAACACCCTCCTTTTCCAATCCAAAGAGTAAAATATAATTTCCGGGAATTGAAATTTGAATTCTTTTGAGCTCTGATCTTGGATTTTGATTTGAGAAAAGAGGAGGAAGCTAGTTAGGTCTTTGGGTTTTGATGTAAGAAGGAAAGAGCCGTTTGTTTTGTTCCTCTTTGGGGTTGAATTTCATG